ATAGGATTGCAAAATCTACATGCACAAAACTATGCTGGTCAATTGTCTCTGGCAATATGTAGCATGCAACCAAGAAAATGCCTGCGGAGTTGCTGCTTATAAACTAAGAAGGAAACACTAACAGGTCTACACTACGGGGCTAAGTCGACCTAAGTTATGCAACTCCAGCTACTTGACTAATGTAACTGGAGTCGATGTACCTTAGGTCGACTTATTGCAGCGTCTACACTGCGCTGGGTCGATGGGAGAATTTCTCCCATCGACTTCACCGGAATGAGAAGCATAAGGTGAGTACTGGAGTTGACGGAAGAGCGATTGGTGGTTGATTTAGTGGGTCTTCACTAGACCCACTAGATCAACCCCCAGTGGATTGATCGCTGCGCATCAATCCCCCGGTAAATGGAGACAAGCCCTGAGTTTAATATGATCTCATTCAGATACATGCATGTCAGTTCAACATAATCAATTGAATTAACTGCAGATGTGTGTACCTAGAGTATTTCATATTCAAACAACATGCATTAATTTCATTTTTTGGAGAGTTTTCCAACAGTCAACAGTAATCAGAAATCATGGAATCCTTCCATATTTTGCCCCACGATTCCTTGCAGCTGCATTGGTTTTCTAAGAAGTGTAGATGTGCTAACAGAATTAGCTGAGAGAACAGATCACTAGTTGGTGTTTTCTTAGATAAAGAATCCCACTCCTTTTTATTCATAAGCTTCTAGACTTGCTGTAGGTGATAATTATTTTGAGGGTAAATTGCTGTGATTTTTGTCTGGCAGCATACAGCACCCGCACATGCAATCCCAGCTCCATCTGGAAATAGCATCACATCAAACAATCTCTAGTGTCTTATATAACCAGTTACAACTCTTTGAAACCTGTCAGCGCCAGTGACTTGCTCTTTGCAGTTACACTTCTCAAAACATTGGCTTCATTTACTTATTAGCTAACTACAGATTTAAAAAAAAATTAAGGACAATGTTGGAGGCTGCATGTTTATCCTAATTTAAATCTTTCAGGAAAATAAAATAATCCTGTATCTTAACAACAAATATTTGTTTACATCAATGGAGACTAAAGGCCTGATCCAAATCCCAAAGAGGTCAACAGGAGTTGACTTCAACAAGCTTTCATTCAGATCTTTAGTGAACTAACCTAAGTCTGGATTCCTACATCAAAATTAAAAATACACTGAAATTGACAGCCAAACATAATATTGTACCTTCTGCTCTCTGGCGGCCCAGTTCTGCTATCAGGTTATGAGTAATATCGCACTGAAATCCATGGGACCACTCTTGGAGTAGGGTACTACACAATATAACAGGGGTCGGCAACGTTTGGCACGCGGCCCGCCAGGGTGCTTATCCTGGTGAGCCGCGTGCCAAATGTTGCCGACCCCTGCAATATAAGGATGGCAGTATCTGTCCCTGGATTCATAATATAATAGACTTAGAAAATACAAAGATTCTGTGACTATGTGATTCAAAAACAAATACCCGAAGTGCTGTGACTATGTCACCGGAGGACTGTCGCTCTGTACCATGGTGTGATGTCTCAGGTCTTTAACCCAGGCCTAAGAGTCCCCAGACAGCTGCTGCATCCTGGCTTCCACCCGGTATCTGCTGAAACCTGGTGGGCCGAGGAGCTAGTAGGACTATCACCTCAGCCAAGGCACCACTCCCAGGAACCCTGATTGGAGGATTGCCTGGCTCCAACCATGCTATTAAAGCCAGGAGGCAGCACAGGAAGTTTGTTTGAGCACCAAGGCAATTTCCTGCGGTGGCTGCATCAGACTGCTTGTGCCTGCCTGCTGCACCCAGTCCTGTTCCTCATTCCTGCTCCACTCCTGGCTCCTGCCTCATCCCTGCCTTCGCTCCTGTTCCCACCATGCTCCTGCTCTGTGCTTGATCCTTGATTCTCCTCCACTTCCTGCCCTTACTCCTCGACTCCAATCATCCGTTACCAATCCTTGCTCTAACCCTAGCCTCTGACTTCTGACCCTGATTCTAGCTTGATCCTTGGCTCTGGCATTTGGCATCTAACCACAGCTCTGAGCCACAGCTTTGATTTCTGACTCTGGCTTGACTCCTGGCTCAGGTAATTGGTAGTTGATTCTGGTGCTGACCCTTGGCTTCGTTCTCCAACCTGGACTCCCGCTTCGCCCACTAGGCCTGACTCCTGCTCTGACTACTAGGCTAGATCACCTACATCCTGGTCCATAATACACGGAATTATTCCTCCCCCCCGTAAGAATTTCTACTACAGTCAAACCATATGCTTCTCAATCACAAAGTAAAATGACACCCAAGAAGGCAACACAGTGCAGAATCAGTGAAATCTTGCAGACAGGCCAGATCCATTACCCCACAAACATTATCTGGGGTAAGACAGAAGGATATAAAAAGATTACATCTAAATGCCATTACTGGATACTTTTTCCCTGGAACTGGACAGCTGAATTATCTAACCAGCAATTTCACATCTGCAGCCAGCTCCAGTAGAACATAAAAAAAAAAAGAGGCTACTGACAACAAAAGGCAGTACGTGTAATTTAGTAAGTGGGCACAGATTTTTCTGAAGATGCGTCACCAGGTGTGAAGCAATGCCTTAGCAATACAGACTCTATTAAGGAAAGCCCAATCTATGTATTTCTAGCCAAATACAATAAAATCTGCACGTCCCCTTATGGGGAAAGAAGCCTGTTGTTTTGCATGGGGTCTGCACTTACATGTTTTAGCAAAAGGGGGGTAAAGTTGTACGTTGTCTGTAGACTCAGCCAGAATATAAATCCACAGGGCTGGGATTCCCATTGTGTTTTTTGTAAGATGCAGTGCTAGAGGGCCTAAATACAGAGCTTTGCAAAAAGTCCCTGCACAGAGCATGAGAATAAAGTGCTTGTCCCAGCAGTAGCTGCTCAGCCAGCATCCACATTGCACCACAATCACACAGTCCAAATCGTGACTGTGAAAGGACAGCCCAAGCAGCAGGTGCGGGAGGGGGCCACATCTGAGCACCACTCTCTCCAATCTGTGTGCCTGTTCCTCAGTCATGTCACAGCAACTGTGCGTCTGTATGAAACATCCAGAGGAACAGAGTAGCTAGAAATATGCTAGTCCCAGGCAGAGGAAGCAGCTGGCAGGCATCTCTAATTGAATTCCTGGTGGACTTGGGCTATTTTTAAAAGTCTCTGTAGGTTGGCAGTTTTTTTTTTTTTTTAAACAGGGTTCACATACCCAAAACTCAGTGTGCAATTTTAAAGATTCATTACTTACCTCCAGGAGGCCCTGCGCTGTGTTAAAATCCTGCAATGGCACCAAAGCACTAACATTCCGAGCCAGATTCTGCTTCTGTTCGGGGGAGGGGGGAGGGGAGGGAACGTGATCTCTTCCAAGACAACTCAATTCCATCTATGTTTTAATGATATAGTAAAAAGAACTTGAGTTTTAAGAATCGTATACAAATATCTTGCAATTTTTGTATTTTTTCTTGCATGTGATTTTTGGCTTCCCCAAAAGACTATTTAATATTAACAATAAAAGAATAAACTTCAGAATTATTATTATTATTATTATTATTAATACAACGCACTTTGGGAGAATCTTTTAATCCAAGGATTTTGAGGGTCCTTCACAAACAAATTAAGCCTTACAATAGCCATGAGATAAAGTAGGTATTTTTATGCCCATTTTACATATGGTAACCTGAAATGTATGAAAGTTACCATGTGACTTGTCCAAAGTCACCTAATGAGTCAGTGGCAGAGCTGGAAATAGAATCTAAGAATCTTGACTCCCAGTCTCCTTGTCTAACCCCCTGTTACATCAGTTTCTCAATTGCTATCGTTACGTTTGGTGTATGCAGTACCTTCAATGTTCCTGAATACTATATATTGTGCAATGCAACTGGTCAAATTTCTGCATATAACATTGTACTGTATATATAAATCTCTATTGTATAGTAAGTGGAGTCTTACTAATAACCCACTGTTAAGGCAGTGGTGATTTGTTCTGAGAAGATGCATCTTTTTAACCTCCAACTGTCAAAATCTGAGACTGACTACCCATTGGGATGCTGCCTCTGTTCCTAAACCACTGATAGCCTGCAAAGAGCAAGGGATTTTGAGCCACCAAGCCAGCTCACCCAAATGTTCCTCCTTAATTAGCAGTGCTTAGCAAAAAGATTCCAAATAGTCCCCAAGGAGCCCAGCCTAATTTACAATGAGGGTAACTGCACGTCACCCAAAGACAGAGAGAGAGAAAGATCGCAACTCAATTATGGTATAGTCCAATCCGAACTACAGTCATTTATTTTCTGAATTGCTGCAGCAAGTTAAATTCTCTGATGATAACGAGCAGTCACTGACTGCATCACCAACTCATTAAATCAACTCAGTAGCAAACACAGTTAGAGAGTCTGGCATTAAATTTAAGAATAGCTGGCTAGCAGAGGTGTAGCATATGAAATTTGTTGAACCATAATTGACATTATTTTATTCTGACATATAAAATGATTCCTATGTATGCTTCTTTCTGGTTTTTGTTTTTTTAAACAGTGATAGGTCACCCATAAAAATATCTTTTATACTGACTTTTAAGAAACCAGAGAAAGCCAGAGATCTTTTCTCAGCTTTTGCAAGCCAGGTTTAAGTAAGTAAGTAAGTATACAGTTACATTGCTATTCATATGAACACATCAGCATGTTAACTGCTTATGTAGAAATGAACAGAAAAAGAAGTTACTGATAGAAAGAGAAATCCTCATGAAACATCACAATTATGATGATTAATGATTGCCACTTAATAAAAAATTACTCCCATGACTGCTACTTGTAAATACAATACTGGAGGGTAGGGTTCAAATAAAGTTATACATTAAGGAATCACCCCACTGAAAATTCCCCAAATGCAAGATCAGCACAGAAAATCCCTATCCCAAACAGATTTTTACAAAGTGGACAAGACCAATTTTCTTCTTATACTCAAAAAGTGTGCTTTGGCTGCCCTGCAAACTGGCGGCTCATCAACTGTATAGTGTGGCCATTGAAAGGAAAAAAAAATTTCACACTGCTTAACATTTCAGAGCCTTCAATTTCCTCTCAGCTCCCATGCAACTATATTACTCCTCCCAAGGGTCAGATGACAAACATCAGCTTCTCCTCAGGGGGTGGGGGGCGGCATACTGAACTTTTCAAAGTTTATTTGAAACATGAGAACGGGGGGTGGGGGGTGGAAATCACCTCCTGTGCCATCAGCTTTGTCACGTCAATTTGTTCTTCAACTGCTTGTTAATAAAATAAAAAGTTGTTTTCCCATGCCCTGGTTACTTTCATTTCTCCGCAGTCACAGTACATTTTCTCTTCAGTGCCCCTTGCTAGAAGGTAAGAAGTTTATTGGCAGAAATGTTTGCCATTTCATGGAGATAGCACTTTGTAAAGCCACGAGGGAGCCTCACCTATAAAATAATTTATGAAGAGCGCTAGCAGGCCACCTGCATTCACAAACTTTAGTGTCTGCAAACCAACATCCCTTGCCAAAACTGTCAACATAACAACTACCAAACCGTCAATCAGCCACCAAGCACAGGACAGAATCAGTTTCCCAGCCTGTCAAACTGCTTCTTCAATGCAATGGCATACGGTATGAGGATCCAAGTCCTTTGGGTAAGAGTCTGTAACAAGACATTTTCTTCTGTAATCTATGGGAGTGGGGGAGAGATTGTTTATTTCCTTTTGTTGTTGCTGTTGTTCAGCCAAATTACATAATGCTTAATTTCAGCTCTCGGTGGCATAATGATGTATATGCAATGCAAATATCCTTGCTGGAATTCTAACAGCAATTTATCAATTCATGTGCAGCTAATCAACCCATTTGCTTTCTAGTGTATAACACTAAAAGCTTATCTCATGCAGACTCACGATCGTTCAAACCAATCTAATTGAATTTCAGAGCCAAGAGCATTGCACAACACGTGATGTGTCTCCAATGGAGAACAGTGCCAGACACTGCAGGCGTTACATAATCACATGCTGTTGTTGGCTGAGAAGGACTGCACTCTCAGTCGCCTCATCGACTTGGCAGTCAGCGTCTCCTCCAATCATGCCCTGCAGCTTCAATCCGCACACAGCGTTCACATGTACAGTCACATGTTTTAGGACCTTTGCAGCAGCAAATGAGAAGGGGACTTTTTTTCCTCTACAAGTCAAAACAGTTCATTAAATCAATCACAAGGCACAGAAGATTACAGCTGGCTACGAGATAGATAACGTTAAGGGCAAAACCCTGCCCTTTACTCACCAGACCACCGCAGGGGACAGCAGCACCACACTGGCCTCATGTAGGGTCTCTGAGCCATCCTGCTGATGAAGAGGATCTACGGGGAATGCACTGTGCGGCACAGCTTACTGCTGCTACCGAAAGAAGCACCATGAACACACCTCATGCATTTAGTGCCTGCCACTGTGTCTGCGAAGCAGTCTGGCAAACCTCTGACCCAGCAGACGACCCCCCATTAGAGCTGTGGAGCACCAGCGGGCAGAATAGCTGCTCTTCCAGCTTACTGCTCACGGGAAGGCCAGGCTGTAATCTTAACTAGCAGCCGGGTGCACTGGGATGAGGGCGAGTGCCTTCTTCCTCTTCACGGGCCCACCCACACAACACAGGGAATATCTACCTGGAGGGATTTTCAACCACCGGACCTGATGCTAATATTTGCTGCTTAATATTTAAAAAAAAATATGAATGATGCTGCACTCTCCTTCCCAGGTGGAAAATTAAGAGCTAGATCCACCTAAAATCAATGGAATTCCCCTGATTTACACTAGCTGCAGAACTGTCCCCAAATAGAAACTGCATCTGACAGAGATTGAGCAATGTGAGTAGTTAATGAGCACCCCAACCTGCATATGTTTCACACCGTGTGCCATCTAACAAATCAGAACCTTGTAACCATCATACCTAGGGTGACCAGATGTCCTGATTTTATAGGGACAGTCCTGATTTTGGGGTCTTTTTCTTATATAGGCTCCTATTACCCCCCACCCCGGTCCTGATTTTTCACATTTGCTGTCTGGTCATCCTAATCATACCCTCCCTGATAACAATGCTTCTACAAAAGGGAAGGGGGAAGCGGGGTTGTATACGCATCCCTGTGTGTTTCCTATCAGGTCATTTTAACTACCTGCTGCAGCTGCAGGTCTTTGGAACCAGTATCACCCTAAATTCTTCTTCCAGGAGAAAGGACACTTTAGCTCAAGTTAGGCCAATTTAGCAGGCAGGATCTTTGAAGTCCATGCCACTAGAGAAGAAGTGAGTCTTTTCATAAATGCCAGCATTTCAGGCAGGAAAAAAAACCCACAGCTTTTTACAACCGGAGCCAAGTTTGGAAGAATTTATGTAGCTAATACAAAGCCAAATTCATTCAAAAAATCAGTACTTATTTCTACCATTTTTTCAATGAAACTTTGATTCACAAAGTGTAGGGGCATAGTGTATGCTTGATTTATAGAGGAAAAAAGAGGGGTTAACACCAGCTGTGCTATTAGTTCTGCAGTGCCATATGGGAGGTTCACGTTCCATTTCCAGACTGTAGCGTGGAGGAAGTTCATTTCGCCCTGTGGAAGGAGAACTAAGGCAGGAAACTAAGGCAGGAAATTTCTCTTGTTGCTCAGCAGTGCCCCCTCTGTCTGTTTAATGTGCTGCACTGACAAGTTCCAAAGGGAACCTCACCTCAAAATAAGTGGCTTATCTGTAGCTAGTTAAAGCACAGGTGAGAAAAGAGATGGAGGTTTCCACCAGTCCTTCCCCAAGCAGATCATCAACTATCTACCTCATTGTGGAAAAAGTATAATTAAATGCTGCATGGGTTTAAGCCCGTGATTTTTAATCAAGCCATAAATAGGCAGTGGAGAGATTGGAGCAATTTACAATTCTCCATCACTAGCCCTTTTAAAGTGAAGATTGGCTGTTTCTCTACAAGGTGTGCTCTGGTTCAAACAGGAATTATTTCAGGGAAGTTCTTTGGCCTGTCTTATGCAGGAGGTCAGACTGGATGATCTCAGTGATCCCTTCTGGCCTTCGAATCTATGAATCTATGCTCACCAATAGCATGTTTTGATTCACAGGGGAAAGCTTTAGGTCAAAATCTTAGGTGGGACACCACAACTTGTCTTAGCTGCACATGTGCTCGTCTATTAAAGATGATTCTGAAAGAGACTTCTGGAGACTGCTGTGGCTGAGAGACTATTAGTTTTCTTCCTGCTGCTACTCTAGAGCCCCCTGCTGGAAATGAATGTGTGCAATATGTAGTCTAGGGCAGGGGTTCTCAACCTTTTTCTTTCTGAGGTCCCTCCAGACATGCTATAAAAACTCCATGGCCCACAACTACTGTTTTTCTACATACAAGAGCTAGGG